TCTCCCCACTCCAATCCATCCTCAATTCAGCCACCAAAGGGATTTTCCTAAAGCACAGGTAAACTCCAATGACTCCCTATCACCCTCAGAATCAAATACAAAATCCTGTGGTGTTCACAACCCTTCATAACTCAGCCCCTCCTACTTTCCAGTGTTCTTACACCTTACTACCCCACCCCGCTCACTTTATACTCTTCAATCCACTGGCCTTCTTTGGTGTTCCTCAAACAAGACACTCCAACTCTCAGCTCCAAGCATTTTCCTTGTCTGCCCCCCAGGCCTAGAATGCTATCTCCTACCTACTGCTTTAAGTCCCAATTAAAATCCCATCTTTTAGAGGAAGCCTTTCCAAACCCCTCTTAATTCTAGTGCCTTCTTTTCTCATAATTGTTTGCTATTTATCCTGTAGAAGGCTTGTTTGCACATATTTGTTTCTTTAGCTCTCTGAGAACAGGGAGTGTCTTCTGCCTTTTTTTTTTTAATCTCCAGGGCCTATCACAGTGCCTGGCATATAGCAGAAGCTTAATAAATGTTTATTGACTGACTGGCGGCACATATCTGTTGTCTTCTAGAATATCCTATTCCAAGCTCTACTCTCCTATGATGTGGTGGCTGCTAAATCATGGGTGATCCCTGCTTGTGGCTCTTCAGGGCCTTGAACACTTTCTTTCTAGCTGCTTGCAATATTTTTTCCTTTGACCTGGAAACTTTGAATTTTGGCTATGATGTTCCTAGGAGTTTTAATTTTGAAATGTCATTCAGGAAATAACTGGCTTCTTTCTATGTCCATTTTGCCCTCTGGTTCTAAAAGATCTGAGCAGGTTTTTTGTTTCATTTTGCTTTTATTTTTTAAGATTTCTCAAAACAGTGTCTGGGCTCTTTTTTTTCATCATGGCATTCGGACAGTCCAATGTTTCTTACATTTTTTTTCTCCTTGATCTTTTTTCCAAGTCAGGTGTTTTTGTTATGAAATATTTTATATGTTCTTCTATATTTTCAGCATTTGACTTTGTTTTAATATTTTTTTTACCTCATAGAGTCATTGCCTTTCTATTTGGTCCTTTCTAACTTTAAGGGATTTTGTTGCCTGAGCAAGATTTTGTGCTTCTTCTGACAAGCTGTTCATTCATTCTCTTTCCAATTCTTTCTTCCAGAGCTCTCAGTTTTTTTCCAACTTTTTCTTCAAGTGCTCTTATTCCATTTATTTAAAATTTTTTTTTAAATTTTTTGAATTCTTTTACAAAATTCTTGCTTTATTTCTTCCAAGAATTCTGGTTAAATGGAAGTCTTTTGCATGACTACACATGTATAACCTGTATGGAGTTGCTTGCCATCTCAATGAAGATAGGGGAGGGAGGAAGGAGAGAATTTGGAACCCAAAGCTTTAAAGACAAATGTTTTGTGTTTGGGGTTTTTTTTTTTTTGCTTAGGCAATTGGGGTTAAGTGACTTGCCCAAGGTCATACAGCTAGTAAGTGTCAAGTGTCTGAGGCCAGATTTGAACTCAGGTCCTCCTGACTCCAAGGTCAGAGCTCTATCCACTGTGCCACCTAGTTGCCTCAAAACAAATGTTAAAAATTGTTTTTACATGCAACTGGAAAATAAGATACACAGGCAATGCGGTATAGAAATCTATCCTGCCCTACAAGAAAACAGAAGGGGAAGGGGATAAGAGAAGAGGGTAGTGATAGAAGGGAGGTAGAACAGGGGAAGGGGTATTCAGAATGCACGCTGTCCTGGGGTGGGGGAAGGGGTGAGACAGGGAGAAAATTTGGAACACAAAATCAATCTTGTGGAAACGAATGTTAAAAAAAGGGGGGGGGTTGATTCTAGTTAAGTTTGCGTGCCCAAGCTGTAATTTTTCTCTAAGACTTTGCTTGTAGATGTTTCAGAGACCTTCTCTTTTTCTGGAAGAAGACTCAGTCCCGATCAGCCGGCTAGAAAGCTTTATTGGCTCAGTGACAGATGTGCAGCCCCCACTTTGCTCTGAGATTTCTGTCCTGACTGCTCCTCTGCAGGCTGGGTCAGATCCATGAAGGTGGGCCCTGCTCTGCCACAACACTAACGCTGTTGCTGCTGGTTCCTCAGGTGGCCAGTCAAACCGGGTGATGGGTGACAAAGCTGCCAGCTCACACCGTCATCAACTGCAGTGCCCCAGGGCGAGGCTGGGGGTGCCAGGCACGGATTGTGGTCTTCCTCTTGTCCTGGTACACATCCTCTCCCGGGGTGGGGCAGCCTCCTGGCCCATCCCTGACCCCAGTGTCTAGGCCTTGTCTATCTCCCTGTAGCCAGCTGGGCTGCACAACTGCCTCAATGTCACATTTTTCTGGATTTCCCCATCAAGATTCAGTCTTGTAAATTTCCTGTATCTGTTCGGAAGCATCTGTAGAGGGGAACTCATTGCACTGCTTTCTAACACTCTGCCATATTGGTTCTGCCTTCACTCGCTCTAAGTGAATGCCCCCCAAGGCTTTGTCCTGGGTTCATTCTCTTTTACCTTTGTATCATGTACTCTGCTCCTCCGCCTTCAATTTAGTATCTCCATGCTGATGCTGCCACACCAGTCTCTGCCGAGCTCCAGTCCTACAGCACCAGCATAGCTCCACTCTAGCTTCTTGACAAACTGTAAGATTTTATGTGCTGTGCTATACGACATTAACCTAAGCCTACTGAGTGCAAGGCCCTCATACCGGCTACTTGAGAAATTATCCACATGAAACACATACAACAGAACATTATCTGCAAGGAGACTTTTCTGGGACTTGATTTCATGCACCAAGCCATTACCAAGTCAAACTCATGCATCTTGTTTTGAATGTTAGGGATGAACTTCTCTAAGAAAAAAGGGCCAACTGGCTAAACATGGGAAGGAAAAGCAAGCCTTCAAATGCTATTCTGAGCTATGTAACTCACTTGAGCCACAGCTCTCAAAAAAATCCACTTACATGGTGATAAAGCTGAAACTCCCTGTTAAGTGGTAATTATTCTCATCTTTCATGACTTACTCTCTATAATTTTTGTTGTTCAGTTGTTTTAGTCTGAGTCTTCCCTACTTCATTTAGGGTTTCCTTGGCAGAGATACTGGAGTGCTTTGCCATTTCCTTCTCCGGCTCATTTTACAGATGAGGAAACTGAGGCAAAGTAAATTGACTTGTCTGAAACCAGATCTGAACTCAAGAAGATGAGTCTTCCCAGCTACACGGTTGGCCACCGCACTACCTAACTGTCCAACTCTATAATAATTTACCATCAAAAAGCCAGGCTTCTAAATGTCACTTGCTCTTCCTGAAAGATAACGCAAAAGCAGTAATTAGGAGGCAGGTGCTGCTACCCTGCACTCAGCTGCAACATCCAACTCCAGACCTCCTTTTAGTCAACAATTCACTCAGCAGAGATACACGACAGCAGATCGCGCCTCAAATCTTGACCCCTTCCACCTCACAGCGGCTGGAGTCGGACGGCCCTGAACATCAACAGCAGTGAACATAAGGCAGGACCAGCACGTCACGGACACGACTGCCACAAGACATCCAACATGTCTGCTAGAAGCAAGAAAACCGAGGACCGAGCGGAACTGGCACACCAGCTAGATACCACAGGGCCCCAAGTTCTCTCAGAAGGACACATCTCGTAATAACCGAGTGGGATTCAATTCACAGACATTCATTTTACAATCACTCTGTAATTCTCCACTTGGGAAGGGTCCCCACAGGCCACCTAGTCCAATTCAGACCTGAAAAAGGATGCCCTCTGGAAACACCCAACAAATGGTCCCCCCAGACTCTGATCCAAGATCCCCAGGGCTGGGAAGCCTACCCCCTTCCTGAGTTAGGGCCTTCCACCTCTGGACCACTCTTCTCCCGGTTCTGCCCTCTGTGGCCAAAGAGAATGAGGCTAAGTCTTCATTCTTCCACAAGACAGCCAGCCCTTCATTGAAATCTGCTTTCTGGGGAAGCTAGGCAGTGCAGTGGATAGAGTACTAGCCCTGGAGTCAGGAGGACCTGAGTTTAAATCCAGCCTCAGACACTTGACACTTACTAGCTGCGTGACCTTGGGCAAGTCACTTAACCTCTGACTGCCTCACCAAAAAAAAAAATAAATAAAATGATCCACTTTCCCACTTTCTGCAGGTTATAAAACTTCAAGATATAAGCGGACATTTCTCCTCCTCAAACCCAACACCACAAATAACATGTGCTGACTAGATGGCAAAATTCATTTTTCCTTCTGAAAACCCTTAAAATCAGAAAAATATTACTTCTGGGCTCTCTTTTCCTTCACCAATTCTTCCATCCTTCAACATTCTCTCATTGTTTCTTAACTCTGGAAGCCAAAGTATATATTGCTCTGAAATGTTAGCAACTGATCATTGAATACACAAAACCTCTTTCTTAAGGCCACCTTGATTCTATGAAGAGAAGGGTGGTGGAGGTCTACAGAGTATGGAAGCCAATCTGGATTGGAATAAGCACCAGGGGTTCTCAGTTTTAACGTGGATCCTCACTACCTCATAGCAACACACAAGGATAAAAACGACAATCTTCAAAACAGTTTTTGATATTTGAAAAGTATAAGTTTTAGCTCCTCTTCTCCAAAAAGTCCATGAAAAGCACCATTCCTGTATCCTTCATGGAACTCCCTAATAAGATGCTGTACTGCCTGAGTGAGTCCAACTCAATTTTATTACATCCAAATGTTTTACCGACTTTAAGTCCAAAGGAAAACATTTGTGAAGACCAGAAAAGAAGTAACAAAAACAGAATATTCCTTGGGCTCGAGTGTTATTTCAATAAGGAGAGCTTTTCATCTCTAGAACAAGGCTGGACAAACCATTTAATTATTAGTTCTGTCAGACGAAAGCGAACGTGGCTGCCAAAGTGCGTGGAACTCATCCGTCAGTACGCCAGCATCCATCTAGGGATTTCAGCATTGAAACAACTTCAAACGTCATCCCCGAGCCCAGACCTGGACCAGGGAGCAGATGAGCCAGAGGGCACCTACCTTGTGCAAGGGCAGCACGAGGAATGCCCCACCCCCGCTGGCTTCTACGATGATGGCAACAAATCGGGGGTTGACTGCACAAAAGGAGCTATCCCAGGTGACTCGGGAAACCCGGATGTCGTCATAGCACTGGTCATTTTTCACAGCCTGGCCAAACACGTGCCTGAACTTGCTCTGCCGTACCACTCGCCTCATGGTGTCTGTGGAGGAAGAACAGGGCACACACTGGTCAGTCAGCACCCCTGGAGTGCCAGGGAGAGGAGAGGAAAGGAGAGAGGAAGAAAGGGGGGCAAGAAGAGAGGGGGAAGGAGAGGGAAGAGGAGAGAAAAGAGGAGAAGGGAGAGGAGAGGAAAGAAGGGAGGAGGAAGAGAGGGGGGCAAGAAGAGAGGAGAAAGGAGAGGGAAGACGAGAGAAAAGAGGAGAAGGGAGAGGAGAGGAAAGAAGGGAGGAGGAAGGGAGGGGGGCAAGAAGAGAGGAGAAAGGAGAGGGAAGAGGAGAGAAAAGAGGAGAAGGCAGAGGAGAGGAAAGAAGGGAAGAGGAAGAGAGGGGGAAGGAGAGGGAAGAGGAGAGAAAAGAAGAGAAGGGAGAAGAGAGGAAAGAAGGGAGGAGGAAGAGAGGGGAGAGCCCAAATCTCTCTTACTCCCACAAACTGCTCAACGTGCCACCTAAACTTCCTTCAGTAGCATACGCAAAGAATATGCCAGGGAAAGTCATCTAGAAAGGAGCAATTTCTATATCAGAATCCAGAAGATTTACCAGCAATACCACCCTAGAGAATACCAAACAGAAGAAGGAAACCCAGGGGAACCTCTGAACCAGAAGGTCTAGGTTAGCTCCTCTACCACATCCTTTTTGTTTGTTTTTGTTGTTTTTTGGTCAGGCAATGGGGTTAAGTGACTTGCCCAGGGTCACACAGCCAGTAAGTGTCAAGTGTCTTAGGGCACATTTGAACTCAGGTCCGCCTGACTCCAGGGCCAGTGCTCTATCCACTGCGCCACCTAGCGACCCCTCTCCACCACATCCTAAGCCAGCTTGCAGAGAGCCAGGGCTCCTTCGCCAAGTTTCTGAGCACCTCCTCTATGGGCCTAGCACTGTGCTCGGAGTGCTGGAGGGCAGCGATGCGCATAACACGTGTCCCTGCTCTAAAGAGCTTACGGGCGAGTCAAAAAGATAAAGTAAAGCATGAAAAAACTAAGGGCCCAAAGTCTGGATTCGGGGGCAATAGCCAGTCAAAGACGGGGAGAGCTAGGACTGTGTTGGGCGGCTGAGGGCCGGACCCTGAATGGCTGTTCAGAGAAGGGCCTAAATCTTTTGGATTTTCCTGCTGTAGCTGCTGATCAAAACAAGTCATTCCTCCCTTACTGGCTAGGATAAAACGGAGAGACAGAAAGGCTTCCTTACAAAACAAAATTAAACATTCTTTTAAACTATAAAATTTAAATTCTCAATCTAGTCACTCTCATCCCTCCCTCACACCCAAAGAAAGGGAAAAGGGGAGCTATTTACCTGTTGGCAAGAGAAAGTAAAGACAATGGTAGAGTTTAAAAACACACACATTCACTTGGAATCCAGGTTTCTTAAGCAAAAATAGATCTTTGGATTCTCTTCCTAGCTTTTTTCAGCAGACTGCCATGAACTCATCCCTAAAGCAGACCAGATACTTCCACCTAAGACTCACTGTCTCAATTCAGAGTCACGTGCAAAATCAGGCCCTCTCCAGCTCAGGTGGCATGCGGCTGCGCTGCCGCCACAGATACGTGGGCAGGGAGCCGAACATCTGTTTTCTCAGTCCCCTCGCTGCCAGGATTTTACAGCTGCCTACTGTGATCATAAATTTTAAGTACTTGGTAGAGGTGACAGAGCAGCTAGCTGGCGCTGCAATGAATAGAGTGCCAGGCCTGGAGTCAGGAAGACTCAACTTCCTGGGTTCAAATCTGGCCTCATAGGCTTACTAGCTGCGTGACCCTGGGCGAGTCACTTCACTGTCTCAGTTTCCTCATCTGTAAAATGAGCTAGAGAAGGAAATGGCAAACCACTCCAGGATCTCTGCTAAGAAACCTCCAAATGAGGTCACAAAGAGTTGGACACAACTGAAAACAATGAAAAGATGATAGTCAACTGTAGGCTTAAACATGGCTAGAATTTACTTCTAATAAAAACAGTGCTGAACAGTTAAATGAGTGAAACAGACCGGCTTCCAGGATGCCAAAGTTTGCACGGATCCACACATTCCAACTGCAAGTGGTGCAGGGCAAGAGTCAGTTTCGAGCTGCTTAGGGGCCTTATGAGGGGCAGGCATGCTCCTGGAGCTCAGAAGGAGTGATGTCTTTGGTCCTTTCCAACTTCCACATTCTATGACATATACAGACAGGTGTAGTTTCTAAACTACAGAAAGCCTTCCCAAAAGAGCTAACTAACAAATGGGTCTGGTCCTAAAGACTTTAAGTAGAGCTGGGGTTCTCTGGCCATCAGTCCCTTCATTAATCAGATGCATGCTGGATGACCATTAGCTTTTGTCAGCTGTCACTGACATTCTGTTGAATCTGCTATTTCACAGCAGTTACACCTACCAAAGAGGCCCTAGAGGCCCTCTCCCACTACACAAGGTACAAATGTCGGCTGGCACAATGACAAGTCGGAAATGACAGGCTCTCTCCCCCAGGACAAACACAGCAAACACACGGGCCAGTCTCCAGTTATCTGTGAGCACCACATCTCAGTGTTTAAAGGGCCCTGTGGTCTCCTGAGGATTCAGCTCGGAATTAGGGGAACAATGAGGTGGCTCAGGCCACAAAAGAACTACCAAAGAATGACAATCACTGAAAGGGAGCACCAGGGGAAAACCCAGAGGAGAAACGGTCCATGCTGAGGGTGAAAACGGGCCCTGGGAACCCCCCCCCTCCCCAATTAAATCACACTCACCTTGATAAGTATTCTAATATACCTTGTCTTTGGCTGAAAAAAGACTTGGGTCGAATTCTTTCGAGGCAGGACCTGCATCGCTATTTCAGGGTCCCAGCACCCCTAAACCTCAACAATGGGTCAGCAGCATTGTGTCCACACGGGAAAGGCAGGCAGACTGGGGCATAATGGTCCCTTCACCAAGCTTGGGACCACCTCATCTTTGGAGCAACTGGGCATTAAAGGAGTACTTTTTTTAATTTTTAAGGCAAAGAGAACCATCCCAAATTGGAATAGCAATATGGGCGTGCATGCAGAGAATGGGAATATTCCCCACTCCCTTTCCTAGGAAGCTGTCCCCATCTGCCAGTTCTTATTGGAGCTTCCCCCTTTTTAAAAACATCTAGTTAGAAATTTTTAGCTGCAAAGGCAGGACACTTCCAAAAGAGTCCAGTTAAACTCCCTCTAAACCAGCAGGGTCATGTAATGAACTATGCAAACCTATTTCCCCAAACTTAAACCCTAATTTTTAAAGAAAGTACTACAGATAGGAAACAAAACATTCTGAGTACAGAAAGCTGGCAGATCTGGGGATGTGACAGAACCATTTCACCCACATGAGCTAATGTTCTGGGTAATTACAATAGCACTCTCCATTTGCAATTTTCCAGGCACTGCCCCAAACTTGAAATTGTCCAACTCATTCTTTCTATGTCTTTCTATTCAATTTCTATTTTCTTTTTAGAAAAGACACTGAAAAAAGGTTGCCCTCATTTCTACCAATTAATTAAAATTAAGAATCCTACTTCAATCTAAAGAATGGTACACAGGTACATACTGGGGTCGCCTACCCCGGCTTACTGTTCTCTATAGGAATTCTGTACATTAAACACCAGCTGGAGAGATTTACTGGCACCGATTTCCATATCAAAGGGAATGACACTACTTTGGATCAAGGCCATCTTGCTTTGGCTCTTCTCCAGGAAAAAAGAAAAAAACCCAAAAGATAAGCCAGTTGTAATAAGGCCACTGATGAAAGGTCATTAATGTGGTGGTCAAGATAACTCAGACAAAACTGTTTGCTTTTTCAAGAGAAGTTTTACTATTTAAGGTGATTCTGGAAGCCAAGAAAGAGGTTAGTCCTGAGTACCCAGGAATTACCAATTTCAAATCAGTAGATAATCTGTCCCTATTTTGCAGTGAGATAAATATTTTTTAATGTACAAGTTTATCACCAGTCTCCTTAGAGATTAGGAATTATGCGTACAAACAAACTGAGGACTAAACATTTTTGATACAATAGGGGCTACTGTGTCCAAATAACAAAGGACTCTACCTTCATACACTAACACAAACTACTTTTTATGTGATTCAAGGTCTTCTCCCAGTAGCGATTTCTTTTAGGAAGTGTCTCAAAATAGGCCCTTCTCACTTCAGGGACACTTGGCAGTGTCCATGCATTTCCGGAGATCCAGGAAAGATAGTGCCCAAGTATACAGATCCTAGAACCTCAGAGATTAGCACTGTCCAACAAGAGGGAAGTTGACTTATCCAAGGTCACAAGGCTGGTGCCCAGCTGAGCTGCTACTGGGTTATCTGCACCTCCTTACCCAGCCCAAGCCAAGTCAGATGCTGAGCCCTTACTTCTTACACACTGGGGTCCATGAACTTGGCTTGTTTGTTTAAATACCTTGATAACCTCATTACATATACTCAGTTTCCTTGTAAATCCCATATACTTCATTCTGTGCACTGACAGCCAGAGGTATTCAGGACACAGAAAAAAAAGTTGAAAACAACTACTTTAGGAGAACAAATGTGGGCAAGGTACCGGCTTGTCTTCTTTTAAATGGCAACAAAGAAACTGAAAACACCTGGAGATAAATGTCTATATCTAACTTCCTTCTCTACTTAACATCAAGGATCAGAAAAATGGCCACAGTTTTGCCAATTTTTCTGTAACAAAAATATATCTATCTAAAGATTCAAACAGATGTACCTCTGGGGCTTCCAACTTGCAGCCTGTTTATGCCAGAGGAAATGCATCCTGCTAGGAACACATACAGGAAAACCCCTCCACTAATGGCAAAATCCTGCTTGGCATACATGTGACTATTCCAAGGGTCCAACTGTTCAGAAGCACACAGCAGCAGACTAAACGGAGTGACCCAGCCAATCACATTAGGTAAACCCCAAATCACCTAAAGAGGAAAAAATGTATATTCCCTTCTTGAAAAACGAGCAAGATTGATCATTCAGTTATAAACCATTACAAAAATCAAGGCTTATTTCTGTACAC